ACAGACAGACTAACTAACTTTGGCTACCCAGACTAACTTCCTTAAGCCATCCAAGGAATGGCAACCCGCCTCTGTTCATCTCTTGCCTCCAAACCCTGCCGGGGTCGCAATAAGGAGGCCGCAATCTGACGGCGGTTTCCAAACTAGGGCTGGCCGAGAAGGAATGCAGAGAGAGAAAAAGAGGCCGGCTGGAGCCCCGCCCCCCGCGCAAGCCCCCCCCCCCCCCGCCTTTGCCGAAAGAATCCTGCAGGGTGAGGAGGGGGGCGGAGCCTCTCTCTCGCTCGCTCTCTCTCAGCCGAGGTAAGAGGATCGGCCGGAGGGAGGCGGGGCGGCAGGAAAGGAGAAGATTCGATCCCGCTCTACCTCCCTCTCCTCCCGCTGGGCTGTTCCGTCGCGCCTCCCCCCCCCGCCTGCTTTGAGAGCGAGAGGACGTCCCCCGCGCGCCTCAGTTCGCCGGCTGCGCCGCTCGCGTGACGACGACGTCCGTTTGGCTCGCCTCGCCTCGCGCCGCTGCCGTTAACGCTCCCCCCCACCCACCGCCTCACACCGGCCTCGCGCGCGCCCCTTTTCCCCCCTTCTCCCGTCGCCGCCTCTTCCCTCATGGCCAACTACATCCACGTGCCGCCGGGCTCGCCCGAGGTGCCCAAGCTGGACATCGTCGTCAGCGAGAGGGACCCTTCGGGCGGCGGCGGCATCAGCAGCAACGACGGCGGAGGGGCGGGGTACCGCCAGGGCGCCTTGCGGCTGCTCGGCCAGCTGAGGCCCGACTGGAAGCCCGAGGACGTGACGCTGAAGGTAACGGCGGGGAGGGAAGCGGCGGCCTCGGGTGTGAGGAGACGGGGGAGAAAGAGAGAGAGAGAGAGGCCGGTATTGGGGTGGGGAAGGAGGGGGCGGAGGCGAGCCGGTGGGGAGGGGGAGACGCGGAGGAGGAGGAGGACGACGACGACGAGGAGCAGCCATTGTGGCGAGGCGCGGGAGGAGGAGGAGGCGGCGGCGATGGGGGGGAGGTGGAGCGCCTCGCTCTTCTCGCTTCCCCACCCCAGCGCGGGATATTATTATTAGCGTTATTTTTTTGCTCCCCTTTCTGAAGAAGGGGGTGGGGTGGGGTGGGGTGGGGGGCCCTGCGCATGTCAGGAGGACCACGAAGGGGTGTGTGTGTGTGTGTGTGAAAATGAAACGGGGGTCGCCCACTTCCCTCGCTTCTCTCCCCATTCTCCTCCCCGGCATTCCCCCCCCCCCCCCTCCCCCGCCCCCCGCT